GAGAGAAGGTAGTCAAGACTATATTCTTGTAAAACCCTACAAAATTTGATAGACATTCTAACTTGATGTGTGATTACTGAACTGTTAGCAAGAGAGGAAAATTTTACTTTGTTTTCCTTATGACCATGGAGGTCTGTTTGATTGGTTGTTTTTTGTTTTGTTTTGTTTTTCTCATTCTTTCTCGATATCCCTGTGTTCACAATTTTGTGGTTTCTTTAGTGATTGTCTTATAATTTATAGGCCAGAGCAGCCTTCTTACTTTTATTGTGAGTATTATAAAATATACGCATATGCCTCTTCTTAAATGCTCTATTACCATATCTTTGGCTTACCATTTATCAGTGAATCATCAGTGAAAAGAAGGAACCAGGTTAATGAACCCGTACTCAAAAAGCATGACTTCTTGGAAAGTCCTAGAAATATTTAATGAATTTTACTACTCTAATCTAAAAAAAAAATGGAAATTGTACTTATAAAACTATTTACATTTAGATATATTCATTCAATTATCAGGTGTGTTGAATAATGAGAACTAGTGTGCATGCCTATCTTCCTTCACTACTAATATTAAAGAGATTCACATATTCCTATAAGAAATTCCCATTTTCAACATGAGCCACTAATACGTTTGGTTTGCATTACTGGCATGATAGAACTAAACATTAAAATTTTATATACTATTTAAAAGACAGTGATTATCCACAAGTTTGGGGTATCAGTGGAATTTAGTTTTGTCATTACTGAATATATTTGAAAGAGCTCATTATACTTGTGGATCCAGATCACAAGGTCTTACAGACTCTGCTGTAATTTTAGGTTTCAGATGCATATGTGAGATAAGTTTTAAATCTTTGGCATGCTGTAATCAATTTAACTTCTATGACAGTAAGTCTTAAAATTCCTTTTCTTAGGTTTGGAGAAAACGGAATATATTCTTTTGATGCCATCATTTAAAGAGAGGGATGTTTAGAACACAGTACCTAGTGATACTAAGTCCTAAATATGTACTATTTCCAGGAAGAAAAATAATATCCTTAAATAAAAATAAAATGTTCTATAAAGATGAAATTTTCAGTGTTTTTGCCTAAATAATATTGAGTCTGTCAGATCCAGTGAGCTGGTGTTTATTTGGGAACATTTGATCTGCTTGTTAATTGCTGAATTGTTGATATTGGTTAACTAAGGCAGCCTTGCAAATAGGTTTTCAAAAGTTACCTTGGAAAATTGTCGACAAACTCTTTCCTTTAATATCAAATGGCATAGACCTTCAGTAATAACCTAAAAAGTACTTATGCTGTGGGAGATCTTTTCTAAAATTAGTTTTCAACTGAAACTAATTTATAGGCCCCTAATATACAGGGTCAAGATAATTTACATGGCTGACCTAAATACAGTTGTCTTAATAGTTGATAAACCATATTCATCAGATGTGTATTTCTCTTCAGAGTTCAAGGCAGCTTGCCTCAAGGTTTCATGAACAGTTTATTGTACGAGAAGATCTGATGGGTCTAGCTATTGGTACTCATGGTGCTAATATTCAGCAAGCTAGAAAAGTACCTGGGGTCACTGCTATTGATCTAGATGAAGATACCTGCACGTTTCATATTTATGGAGAGGTAAATATTTTACTAACTAGCCCCCTGCCCCAAATCAGTGTTGCTGCTGGTTTATCATTTTGTCTTGAAACTTTCTCCCTTTTTATTAGGATCAGGATGCAGTGAAAAAGGCTAGAAGCTTTCTTGAATTTGCTGAAGATGTCATACAAGTTCCAAGAAACTTAGTAGGTGAGTCAGAAATAACCATTAACATGCACCACAAAAATAAAATTCAGGTAAACAATTTTTATACCAATAGAATCCAATTTTTCCTCACCCAGGAGTATCACTTAATTGAATTGCAATCTTTGAAATATAGTCTAGTCTGTTGGTACCATATTGAGAAAGGGTTTACTGGGTATGATACTCAGATTATATTATCAGAATGTATGCAAAGGAGATTGCTTTGGTAGTTAAAACCCAGACTTCCCACTGTATAGTGTCTCTATCTTAAAATTGACTGTTTTTTTTAAATGAATGATAGTTGGTATCTTTATAATTCATAGTAGATAGGTATTTGATTTCCCTAAGAGGGCTATAAAATATAGCATTAATTTTAATTATCTCAACTTGACAATCTGAATGCAAGTTACTTAAATCTAGTATGTTTTTAAGCCAGAAGTAAATAAATGTCTCTGGGACTTTCTGCAAAGTTCCTGGTAACTTCTTATTTTAACTTTTGAGTACTGTTCGATGACCATCACCATCATGAGTGTCAGCTAATATCTAAGAACATTTCACCAACCCTCCCAAATGCTGCAGGTATTTTTAGTATAACATATCAAAAACAGGTGTAATTTTATCAAGGAAATTAAATTTAATTTTAATTTGTAAGTAAGATTGAGACCTATTGCCTTGCCTGTACCTGTTTAATCTTTTAACCTTGAAATCATGATTGCTGTAGGAGGTAATGCAACTTCTTGGGAAAGTTTAAAAAATAAAACAAGGATGACTTATGCATTTTGTGGACATAGTTTCAGAACTATATAACTTGCTTTTTATCAGCATAGAGTTGTAAACATCTTTAATGTCATTAAAAAACATTAGTAATGGTATTTTTCTCCCACAGAAAATCAGCTTAAAAATAAAGTACAAATACTAGTGAAATAATGCAGAATTAATAGCTCAGTTGTATACTACAGACAAATTAAAGAACATGAATGTGTAATGTTATTGAGGTAATTCACATACCAGTTGTGTAGAAAATGTATGTATAGCACAGGGTGAAGTGAATATCTCAGGATGGTAAGATTATAAATGATATTTATTTTCTTCTTTATAGCTTTTCAAGCAAGCACTTACAATTTTAAATAAGAAATATTATTGTAAATTTGGCAAATCTTATGAAAATGTAGTATTAGTTTTTTTAAAAAAATATCAAATTGATGATGCTTATATGTCTCATAAAACATTGTTTTAGAGAAGGCATGATGGTAGGGGAAGGTGCTTGGGCATAGGGGTTGGCTCTGGATTTTAGTCTTTAGCTTCCTTGAGTCTTCTCTCCTCACCTATCTAATAAGTATAAAATATCCACCTTACAGAATTATGTATATGTGTACATATAAAGTACCTAGTGCAGTTCTGGGCATAATAGTGGACTCAATTCAATTTCCTTTACCTTATTCAAAACAACCTCATTTCAGTAAAGCAGAATTATAGTCAATTGTCTGTTGGGATTCAAAATAATTGTTTAATATTGAATTGCATAATTTCTTATTAAATAAATGTAGATTTCTACCTATAGTCTTAACTGGAAAGAAGAGGATCTCTGAAAGTATCTTTTACCAGAAAGCCTTGTGAAGTAAATCATCCTGTTTTTTGTTGTGTTGTGTTTCTATTTAGTAAAGTGAGAGTATTCTGTTTTTGAGAGGGCTTCTACAAAACTGGCAATTTTGGGGACTTTAAGAAATCATTTTTACATAAGATTAGGCAAGGCAATCTTTAGGGGAGATGTCATAATCAATATTACAAGAGTTTTGTTAGGTCTCACAATATGATTTATTATCTATTTTTCCCAAACTCTCTTTAGTGTGTATAATGATTTCCTTTTCTTAAAATTTTCTTGTTCTTCCCTGGCTTTGACAATGAATTTGTTTAATTATTCAGCTGTGTTAAACTTGTATAATACTTAGGATAGTCAAGATATTATCTTAATAGAAACATGCTAAAATCTCATTTTTCTTTTTTGCTAACTCATTTAGACTTTTATTAAAACCAGCATTGATTCATGAAAATATAGCTATTATAAATAAAAAGAAACTGTGGGCTGGGTAGAGTGGCACAACCTGTTATCCAAGTGATTCTGAAGGCTGGGGCAGGAGGATTGCAAATTCAAGGCCAGATTCAACAACTTAACAAGACCCTGTCTCAAAATTAAAAAAAAAAAAATGAGAAGAATTAAAAAGAAGTAGTGGTAGGTAGAGCATTCCTGGGTTCAATTCCCAGTACCCAAACAAACTATGGGAAACTCCATCCAGGTAGCTTCACTGTCCCTTCTCTTCTCCTTTTTATTTGAATAGGACCAGAAATAATTGTCAAAAGATCCTAGGTCATGTGTTCTAATTTAATGGCATCTGTTGTTTCCTGACCACTGAGTAGACCAAAGGCTCTGATGCAGCTACACACAGCAAAAATGTCAAAGTTGTGTTCTAATTACAAGAGCCACAGGATCCTTCTGTGAGGAGATCTTTACTGAGTTCTTATCTAGGATTGGCTCGAAGTAAATTTTGGCTTACATGTTTTTCCTCAGTTCTGCCTCAAAAAAGCTAGTGGGGCAAGCATATGATGGATACCTTGCTGAGCTCTTGAAATAAGATACAACTCACACACAGATTTCTAGAATTAGTAGTTATTATATTTGTAATGTCTTGCTTTATACTAATGTGTGATGATGGCTCTGAAAGCAGTTATGTCCCAGTGATGTATGTGGCTGGAATTTCTAAAACGAGGGAAAGAATCCAGTGCCTATTTATTACTAGTACTTGAACTCTGGTTTTTTAGTGAAGAGTACTTCACAGGTTTTAAGCTTTTGCTTTTTCATTATGATTTTCATTGTGCTACCTTGATCTTTTATTCTATGATTTTTGAGTACTACACAGGAATAGTATTTTAACAGACTGGCGTGAGAGATTGTATTCCTTTTAGATCTATGTATACCTGCATAAGCCACTTTTAAACTTAGAGTATCTTTTATAAAATTCTAAAAATGAGAATGAATGGATAAAGAGGAAGATTTAAATCACATGTAGATAAGAATCAAAATTGTCAGTTGAGCATGGATATTTACAATTATTCTTTCCTTAATTTCTTTTGTAGAACTTTGCAGAATAATAAAGCACCACACTACCAGCAAGTTTAAATTGTACATAACCTCCTACGTATGCAAAGTAATAGACTATCTTTGGACTTCCTTAGAAGTTTGAATTACCCAATCAGTTCATAAGTATTAATCAACTGTAGCACCTGTCCAAAGGCATTTAAGTTATGATGACCTAATCAAGGAGAAAACTAATTTAACTGTCACAACAGGGGCCTCTATTTGAATCTTACAATTCTGTGTGTATGTGTATGTGTAAACACATACATACACAAATACGTGAGATAATTTACAGGAGAATGTGAGTGAATTATTCATTTCTTACTTAGGTAAAGTAATAGGAAAAAATGGAAAACTGATTCAGGAGATTGTGGACAAGTCAGGAGTTGTGAGGGTGAGAATTGAGGCCGAAAATGAGAAAAATGTCCCACAGGAAGAGGTATGTTATATTTCATGTTTCTGGTTTGTCTAATAAAAGTAAAAGTCTTCTATTTTTTACCTGACATACTAACTTAGACCTCTCTGTCACATATGTATATGTGACTGTAGATATTTTGATCATCCAACATGCCTGATATAACTAACGGTATAGTTGTACATGATGGCCTCTATCTGTTGTCTAATGCTTTGACTTCAGATTAGTCATCTTAACCTATGTAAATCTTATTTTCTAATCTTTAAAATGGTTAGTTACAAATTTTTTAATATGAAACATACATCACTGGGTTTGGCATTAATGACAACTTAATGAGATAATGTGTGAAAATGCTTTGTGAAGCATTTTCAAATGTTAATGTTGCTAACAAAAACGTGTTCCACCTTTGACATTTTTTTTTTAGTTTCAGGATTATGTGTGCTTATGGTTTTTTTATCTTTAAATTTTACATAACTTTTTTTTTTATAACTTTCACTTTTATTTTCCTGAATATATGCCTTTTGGTAGCAACATTTGAAGTGTTTGTATGGGGTGAGGGAAATGAGGTTATGCCCTTCTGTGCAGTAATACTCTTTAAGATACTGTCACCTCCAAATGTCAAATTTCACACATCTACCCACTTTTTGTGAAAGGTTCTTTTAGTTAAATCCTTTGCAGTTTTTTAGTGCATGATGTTAATATACCAAAGTACTCTATAAGTTACATTCTTAAAAAAATAATCATTTCTGATTCTGCAATCTGTATTTCTAATGTATGAAATATGATATGCCAAGAGCTTTGTAATGTTTTGAACAACCAATAAAAAAATAATCATTTATGCAGTCATGGAGTTAACAAGTCTTAAAAATGGTTCTTTTTATCTTTTGTGTTTTGTGCTTGTTTTTAAGGAAATTTTGCCACCAAATTCCCTACCTTCCAATAATTCAAGGGTTGGACCTAATCCCTCTGAAGAAAAAAAACATTTAGATATAAAGGAAAACAGCACCCATTTTACTCAACCAAACAGTACAAAAGTCCAGAGGGTAAGAATTATTTTGTCAATTTGGAAAACATTAAAAGTAATTTTTTTGATTCAGATGTCACTGTTGGTGTTTTGAATATTTTTTTTTCCTGGTTAGACTGGTGAACTACTCATGTTCTATTTTTTTAGATCTGCTAGTGAACTGATGAGATACTACAAACCGAAGTAATACATACTTTCTGTTTATTCAGAACGACAACTCTTAACACCATAAACATAACAGGATTGCATTTTTCTTGTGAGGCTGTACTTTATTTTTTCCATGCTCTATCTCCTTTAAGTTTGCAGGCCTTGTAGCTCAAAATGTGCCTTCGGTTAAGCTATTTTTAAAGATAAAAAAACCAGTTAGAAACTCATTTTCACTATTTGAACTAAGCTATCAGTTTAGAAATGGGTTTTAGAAGTCCTACAATTAAGTCCTACATCCAATCTTCTGTATATCATTTGTTAAAAGAGTTTTTATAATATCACTTGCAATCCTTACACTTCTTTAGGTATTTAGTGGTTTGATCAGTTGTAATAGGGAATTCCAGAAACCTGAACTCAAGTTTTGGCAAGTAGGAAGACACTCATTGAAAAATATATTTTAGGTTTATATTTTAATGTTTATTCCCCTTGTTAAAAAAAGACTATAAATGATCATTCTTAGTTGGGGGCTGGTGAAGGAGTATTTGTGGAAATGTGTATTAATTTTCCTGCAGACAAAGCTCAAGGCTTTCATGCCAATTACTTATCCAGTGTCATCTGTCACCACTCTTCTCCCTTGTACTCTAGAGAAGCTTGAGCCATACTGAAGTACTTGGAATTCTTTGAACATTATCATATTCTGTTGCTTCTAGATATGTGCAGTAGAAAACTTTGTGTTTATGCTTCCCAGAGCACTCATTCTCCTCCATTTCCAACCTCACTTTGACCTTACTCATTTCTTTGCTTACATACTTGCTTCAGGTTCCCCTTCCCTGAATGCATCAAGAACCTTTTCCTTTGTGCTTCATTGTGTTAAACCATAGCATAGAACTTTTATATGTTCACTTGTTGATCTCCTCAACCACACTGTATAGATCCTTAAGGGCAGCACCCCCTACCTGGCCTAGGAGAGCTGTTTTTGGAAAAGATGTTATAACTCAGAAGAGATTAAAATCAAGTGTCATTTTGCACAAAACTGTAATTTCAAGTGGGTTGGATATTCCTCTCTGCTGGGAAGCCTAGTTCTCATACTAGAATAGGTAATCACTTTTTCCTGGTATCTCTATTAAAGGCCACCATTCTACTTTATTTTTTCTTTTAATTTACTCAGGTCCTCTGGATAGGTACTTAAATTAGAGTAGCCTTTGGTTAGTAAAACAATTTGGACCTGGTGTAAGAGAAAATATTTTTAAATGATTTTCTTCAAGGTCAATCTAACCAAATCTGTAACACAGAATTTTAAAGCTGGTTTTGGTGATTGTTTGGGAAGGGTGTAGCATTCTCTTAAATGGGATTTTAGAAAACACAATTAATAGCTGTGTAACAAAGTTAGGTGGCAAAAAAAAAAAAATACGAGTTAAAATGATGTATTTGAGAAAGGAATTCTGATTTATAGACCTGATGATTCCATACTTTACATGTTACATGTGCAAAAACAAATCAGTATGAAGTCTAGGAGTTTTTATTGGCTTCTTTTTAGGTGGCCAGTGCTACTCAGAAGGCAGTTCCTTGCCTATTAGATGAATGTCAGTCTGAAAGTGGTGTTTTTCTGATTCTTCAGTTTTGTTCTTCATCAACAGCCATGCTCATGTACAGGGGAAAAAACCCTGTGCCAGCCCATTCATACCTTTTAGATGCTGTATACTGAATGCAAGCAGGTAAAACCATCCCAACAGTAGCAACACTTATCAAATGAATGCTCTTATGAAAGACCAATGCTTTGCTCAAGGGAGAGCTTCTTGGCTTCTCATACCTTTTATCTTTGCCTAGAGAGTTATGTTATATCCACAGCAAAGCTACCATCATAGTTTTCCTTTAATCGTTTATAAATATCAGTAACCATATGTATTCAATAGCAAAATATTGAAATATTCTCAATTTTGAATGTATGTCATAATTGCCTGCTTTTTACAAATCTCCCCTAGGCTTCCCTATTGCTTGTGATGAGAAAGAGTTTATTTTCTCATTTATAGTGATGAGTCAGAAGTATAAATATTTAGATTATGCTTTTTAAAAATCTGTTTTCTTTTATTATAGAATATATAATATTACAATCTAACAGTCAATTATATAAAGTATGCAAAAATTATAACTTTCACTAGTAATTGAGGGAAGTCAATAGAAGGAATCATAATTTTTTACCCATCCAATCAACCAAGAAAGGAAAGCAAAAGGAGAATACAGTGAAACATTCTTTCTCACATTGTTGATGACAGTTTCAATACATGTAACAGTGCAAGAACATTTTATTAATATTTTTCATATATAAAAATGTTCATGTACTTTATTCTCATTGTATGACCCCTGGAAATAGTCTATAAATCTAATACAAAATGAGGAAAATGTACATTTAGAAGGTTGATTATATCAATCATTTTTATAATTTTAAACAATTGAAAGCAACAAAAATTTCCAGATACACAGGGGTATTAAATCCTTCATTATAACATCTATATTAGCAAGGAGTAATTTGCAGACCAAAACTGATTATTTTGAAAACAATCAAGCCACAGAAAATGTTTTATATAGTAATAAATGGAAAGATGGCATATAAATGACATGTAAACTGTAGTTTTAACTATGCCACAACTAAGGAACCGCTAATGATTTTATTTAATAAATATCAAAGTGGTATCCATAGAGAGAAAAGCAAATTTTCCCTGTAATTCATCCTTCTAAAATTTTCAGAATATGTTATTGAAATATATATGGTCTTGTTATTTGGGTCATGAATGTGCCTGTATCTTTTTTGTCTCTCAATTTGTCAGTGCATTTTTCAATATCCTAATTCTTTTTGTTCCTGTTTTGATTGTACTCTGTTTATTCAACAAAGTTTAGGTTTGTTTTTTTTTTACTTTTGAAATCCTGGTATCTAGTTTTGAATTATTTTCTTAAAGAATTTGATTTAGTAAAACTTGTAGTAAATGAATTAGAGCATTTGTCTATACTTCTCATGTTAAAGCTTGCATAAATTTGAATTATATCAGTGTTTTTTGCCAACATTTAATAATTGCTATATTGATCTGTCCTTATTCAAAATAGATGTGTAAAATACATCAACTACTTTTGTTTTTATATATTGATTTGTCTTTTCAACAAACATTTATGTACCTATTGTTCACCAGACCCTGTGGTAGGAATTTAGTAATTACTTGTATTTTTTCAGAGCATTCATCACTAATTTTATACATTCATTGCTATAATTTATTTTTCAGGGTATGGTACCATTTGTTTTTGTGGGAACAAAGGATAGCATAGCTAATGCCACTGTTCTCTTGGATTATCACCTGAACTACTTAAAGGTGAGAATAGAAAAAATATTTTATTTTTCTGGAAAATACTTTTATTTGTATTAAACATCAACTCTATTATACATTGCTAATATGCTGTGAGAACAGGAAAAATTTAACTTTCAATCCTTTTGCACTAAAATTTAAAAACTATAGTAAATCTTTTAGCAGTTCAGAATCATTCTAGCCTGTGCATAATAATGTATGGCCTTGTAAAAGAAAATAGAGAAAATACTTAATTTGTTTAACTTGAATATATTCCTTCTAAAAACACAACTTACTTTTTTATTGTAAATTTCAGAACCTAATATTCCATTCTCAATAAATTCCTGTATTTCTGCTTATTCTCTTAAACCCTTACACTCAATTTTGGTATTCTTATACCTAGCCATTTAATCCAATTGATTCGTTCTAGCTTTTGTGGATTTTTTCCACACTAAATTTTGTGTCTAACACTCACCTTTGTTGTCCCTTTTATGTCATTTATCAAGGAAATTCCAGCATTTCATGAACTACTGTGTTTAAATGTTTGCCCTTCATATTTTCTCTTTATTCTGTTTTTCAAAATACAAACTATTTGTGTCTTCTTGTAATTGCTCATTTTAGTTAGTGTTTGTACAGTTCTACCTCTAGATTGCAAGCTGGGAGGTAGGAACCAAGCGGCTACAAGGTATAGTGAAAAGAGCACTGGATTGACAATATAGCTATTTGCTTCTAGTCTCTCTTTAACTAAGAACTAGCTATATGACTTTAGGCAAGTTATTTCCCTAAACTAAATGCTTTTTGAAATTCCTTTTGGCCTATAATATATCCTGTAATATAATGAAATGTACTCTTACCTCGTTTTTATAATTTCTTCTTTGTACTTCTATTTATCAAAATTATAACACAGCTGGTATTAAATAGTCTTTAAAAAGTAATCCAGCTTTCCATTTTTTATGGCACTATCCTAATAAGATTTATTTTGCTGACTTAAATAAAAAGAGAGCAATTATATGTAAATCAGAGTGAAAGGAAGAAATAGTGCAGTAGCTGGGCATTTTGTTCATTCTTAGTGATGATCAGTTAATAATTTAAAATGGGAAGGTTTCATCCAGCAAGGTTTGCATGGGTAGGATACCTTTTTGATTTGCTTTTTGTTGTTGCTGTTATTGTTGTTAACAGTGTGTTTTGTGTGTGATCTGTTGTATGTGTTTTTCTTCATTTCTTAGCTTAAATGATTGTGAAGACCTGGACAGTTAGGATTGCACTGTATCAAATCCTTTGTTCTTTTGACTAATGTTCTCTCTCAGATCTTTTGATTTATTCTTCACAATTGAATAACTTGTTGGTTATCAGCAGCTGTCCTGTTTCCATTCTTTCTATCACCAGATCTTCCTTTGATTGGGCCTGGCATCTCTCACCAAAAGGTGACTGTTTTGCCTCAGTGGTATTACCCTGGAATACCATTCTGTTATGAAAGATCCGTATATCCATTCCAGGAGCTATTATTGTACCTTTGGAGGCAGCCACTCACTCAGCTGCATTCTCTCCTTTATTCTTGTGTGGTTTAGAGCACAGGTGATCCTTAACTGACCTTTCTTTTCCAGATGCCACACCATATTTCAGGAACTTAAGCTTTTCAGGGTTTTTTCCAGTGACTTTTTATATAGACAGTCTCTACAATGACTTCTACTTGACTGAAACACCCAGTACTTACTGTAGTTATGGTTCTGATTCCCTGTAGCCAGTAAATGAGATATTTATGGGTAGATTGGAAGGACAAGGGTTTAAAATTAGGTTTTTGTCTGGATTTGACAGACTATAGCTTATTGGAAGTACTGTTTATAAGGGTCTGTCAGTAGACCCCAGCTGTATGTTTTAATCATCTGAATATATACTGTTTGTTGTATTTGTTGTAGTAGAGTTGCAGACTTTAAGGGGTTTTCAAGGAATAATGTAGGACTGAACTGTTATTGTTCAGCTATTAAAGTGTTTTCCCCTTTTATATAAGGAACATCAGCATTTTTAGTTCATGGAAAATAATTGTTCCTAACTATATAATCACATCCAAAAATAGTATATGTTCTTTTAAAGCAAAAGATGCCCCAAACTCAGTGATTTGTAAATTGAGATCTTAACTGGCAAATCTATTTTAATTAAGATAATTTACAGTGTGTGATTTTTTTTAGATTAGATGGCTATACTTTAAAATGTCATTTATCTGTATTTATATAGTTTAATATTGCTTTATTCAATATCCTATCATCAAGAAGTCCCAAAAAATAGCATATTTGTGCCTTAGCCATAGAATAATTGGATAATTGTGCCAAATCAAATAAACATAAATTTTATTCAGTATAGTTTTAATTCTGAGTTTTTATTATATTTCTAATTCTGGATATCAATAACCTGTTATCTATAGTAATTTTCTTTTTTAAGGAGACCAATTTCCTGATAATTTGTGTAACAGTGTTTACTATAAATTTAGAACTGAAATTTAAATATTTCCAGTATATTTTTTATCTGATAAAAAGGAGAAAGATATTATTAAGAAAAATGTCAAATTATTTTTACTGTTATCTTGTATATTTTAAATAGGAAGTAGACCAGTTGCGTTTGGAGAGATTACAAATTGATGAGCAGTTGCGACAGATTGGAGCTAGTTCTAGACCACCACCAAATCGTACAGATAAGGAAAAAGGCTATGTGACTGAGGATGGTCAAGGAATGGGTCGAGGTAGTAGACCTTACAGAAATAGGGGGCACGGCAGACGCGGTCCTGGATATACTTCAGGTACAAACTAAGCATTTTACTCAGTAACTTTATCTGTTCCTAGACCTAATAGCTGCTAATCTCTAATATCATTAGAACCCCATTATAACAACTTCTCACTACATGGTTTCCAATTCACAGTGGGTCAAATTGTGTTTCAAGAGACATAGAGTAAAACCTAATAATGACACACATAGTTCAACAGGGCAGTTCTGAGTTCTGTCCATGTTCTGATTGGGGATAAATCCACTCAAGCCCTTGTGTGTTGATGACTTAAGACCTCTCCTGATTTTATTACTGTATAGCCAAAACTTTTTTCATTTGTGTACTGTGGCTCATTTTTTGTCAGGCATGTGCTGGTCATACTTGCTGGATGGACTATGTAAATCAGGGGTCTGCATCCTGTGACTCATAAGGTGATTTTGAGTGGCATGGCCAATGTCAGCCCTAGGCACAGTCAAGAAGTAGGCGAAGTTTCTCTTTGCCTTCCCAGTTCTTCTGTCCGTGCTTCTATCTTCTTTCCCAGTACCTTTCAGTGAACCCGGTCCCCACCTACCAGTGCCTACTGTCTTTCTTGCTCAACTGTGTATCTACTATGTTACTTGCTAATGATGGTGTAAGGTATAATCCATCTCACAAATATTTGCATTTCAAAAAGGAACTCTTTAAGATGGAAAAGCCTTCAAGATCCACAGGAATGAAGCTATAATGGTGAAGCTATAATTGGTCATTAGCTCCAACGGAGGAAGAGGGGGGGGGTAGTAGAGTTGATATTCTGGAGTCCGGGAGAGATACCTACTCCTAAGGCCAACCTTGAACCTAACCCCTAACCCCTCTCCCAACACTCCGTTCTTTTTACCAGTGAATTTCACTTCACCATGGAGCTCTTTTCCCACACTCCTGTTCCCTCCACTATTAACCCCTCAGGCATACTGAGGTTTTCAAAGTATTCCTTTATTAATGATCAGTTAATTCAGTGGGAGTGGGAGGGAGGGTTGTGGGCCAAGTATCAGACAAACACATCCCCCTAAGAGACCCTTCCCTGAGATAGATGTCATGGTGGCCTTCATTGCTGCCCTTTCAGAGGTGACCAAAATGTGTACATTCTCCTCTGTTCCCAGGCCAAATCTTATAACAAGCTCTCTTTATAGATTTTTTGTTTATTAAGGTATTGCACTGAACTGTTGTAGACAACTTTTTCTCCAGAGAGCAGATGTTTAAAGGAGAACAGCTGTTTACAGATATGGCATACTCAGGTTTGAATTTAGATAGCTAATAAAATATCTTTTTTAAAAAAATTAAAACCCAAACAGTAACTGTTTATAACCAAAATTACATCTCAAATATTTCAAAGCCCAACATTTCAGATTTTCAATTATTTGTTTTACAAAATGGAAGGTGTTGATACTCTGGTGGGCTTCTAAATTGGGAAGAGTATTGGATTACCCCTGAATCGTCTCTGGAAGCTTCTGTTAACCTTTTTTTTTTTTTAAGTCGGACAATGGTATATAACTTTTAACTCTCGATAGGAACTAATTCTGAAGCATCAAATGCTTCTGAAACAGAATCTGACCACAGAGACGAACTCAGTGATTGGTCATTAGCTCCAACAGAGGAAGAGAGGGAGAACTTTCTGCGCAGAGGAGACGGACGGCGGCGTGGAGGGGGAGGAAGAGGACAGGGAGGAAGAGGACGAGGCGGAGGCTTCAAAGGTACAGAGGTTTTCATTATTGAGAAATAATGGTGAACTGTAACAGCCGGCTGAACTTCCATGAAACAGCTTGGAGATGCAATGAAGTACTGTCAAAATCCTGTCTCCTTTTTTGTGCTGACCATCATAGGAGAGTATCAGCCTTTCCTTTGTATATTAACACAATATTAGTTTTGGTTTATGTAGAATATATGAAAAAACACAGATAAGTAGCTAATTAGTTATCTTCATTAAGTACTCTGAAGAAAAAGCATTTGATTCTTAACTGAGATTGACCTGTTTATGCTGTATATAATACCTTCTGTTTCTTGGTAACAGAATAGATTATTAACAATTATGTAACTGGAATCACTAGGCTATCAATTACATTTTAGTTTCTGTGGTTGGTCTACATAGAGGAGGTGGTATTAGAACTTCCAGTAAGCACTTGAGAATCAGTAACTGTTAAACCTTTTGAAAATCCTCCTGTAGGAAACGACGATCACTCCCGAACAGATAATCGCCCACGTAATCCAAGAGAGGCAAAAGGAAGAACAGCTGATGGATCCCTTCAGGTAAAACTTATGTGACTCTTTCCATAAATTATTTGAATACAGTAATTTCAGTTTTGAGTTTTACTTTCTTTTTAAACATGTTCAAAGATTTCAAATTTGGGAGCATGTGAAGTATTTTTCCTTCAATATTACAGTTGTAGGCAGTCTTAGTCCTCTGTGACAAGTATACAATTAAGAGGATTTCTCTAGAGAAGATGGAGTGAGCATTAGGAAGATTTGGTCAACCACTTTAGGATTTTAATACCATTGAGAACCCCCCTCAAATCCCTAAGAAAAGGAACATTCTGAAATGTATTAAGAGATAATAAGTGAGTACTGTAGGCCCCTTGTCCCCTGAATTTCAAGACTAGGGTATTCTCCTTGAGTAGGAAGTATGGGGAAGCTCTCTCTGCTTGCCACTAACAGTTATTATAGATAGAGCTTATGATGTTCAGGTAGTCTCCAGGCAAAATTAACCATTTGTTTTAAGATAGTCTATTCTGAGGATCTCTTCTCAAATGGTCATTATCAGTGGTAAACCCAGTTTTCAAATAATTTTAAAATTACCTCAAGCACATTGGGCATCTTTGCTAAATGCCTCCTGTGTGTGTTTTATCTCATTCAGTCTTACAGCTCACTGAGATAAGTAGTTTTATTATTTGGGAAACTGAAGTCATAGTCCTTTGCCCATATTCACATAGCTAGCATGTTGTGGAGTGATATTCCAACCCTGGTGGCAGATTTAAGAGTTCCCTCTATTGATTGGTTTAGAATCAGCACCCATTATTAGAGATAAATGTTAAGAACTTTATGGTAAAATATTTCTTATAGTTCATATTACCTCTAAGTAAATTTTAACTATTGGTATTTTCCTAAGGAATAGCATAGAAAAGGCCTTGGACCTAGATTAAAAACTTTGGCAAAATATTACCATAATGTCCTTTTCAAAGATACCAGGTATTTCTCTACTAGTTTTGTGCTTCTTAAACTGAGAAGTTTCATGAACTTGACGATATAAACATATTGGTTAAAAGTATGCATATTTATAATTATAATGGAATACTGAATAAAAATGTTTTCTGTGTGAAAATGCAAATGAATACAAAGCACTGAACCTTTGACAACCAAACATTTAAAACACAGGGCTAAAATTTTAACATACTTTGCAATTGCAGTCATCCATTTGGACACATTTTTAGCTTATACACTTGAAGCACATAAATATTTGTTTTAGGTACACTGGTCAATATCTTTCTTCTATACAGCATCAGGACTTCTGTTAGTAGTTTTCAGAATTAGCACAATATTTTGTAACTTTTAGAATGTTATTCTAAAATTACATTAGTCCTTATACTGTTCTAGGATGCTAGTCCTTCCACAATGTTAGATTTCCTTCTAACATTCAGTTCTTCACAGTTCATGTTGTAGGATCATCTGAATTGCCTTATTGAAGCACATGCTACTAGAAAGCAGTAGTCATATGCAATGGGAATTTCAGTGCAGAGAAATTTAATCATACCTATGATAGATATAAAGGTGTAAACTGAAGGCTGTCTAATAAGTGAATTAGCTGAGTTCTTATCCTGGTAAATCCTGAATAGGAAGACATTGTTTTGTGTGTCTCCTCCTGGGTTCCACAGTCTTTGGAGAATAGCCTGTTGTTCTTTTTTAACTCCAGCATTAACATAGTATGAGGTATGTTTTACACACACACATACATGTGCACACATACACACACAGTGCTGTATACTCTCTGTATAGCATTGTATCTCTCTTCTGGTGTTCAGTAATACTAATTCATTTTAATTAAATGTTTCTCACTGTTTATTCTGTTTAGAAGGAGACATGGTAGGATTGTGAGTTTTTCTCTAACTTTGGATGCAGTGAGATGACCAGTATGCTCCAGTTAAAGAAGAGTGTTTTCAAATCATAAACCAAATAAAGAACCTGCCTTATCTTATTTCTTGCAGTTCTTCTATGCTTATCTCCATTTCCCTTTTGAACATGTGGAATTTACACTTCAGACTTATTTTTCTTGTCAGGCCATTTAAAGATTACAATAGGATATGGTCTATATATAACAACTATAACTTGTTTTAGATCAGAGTTGACTGCAATAATGAAAGGAGTGTCCACACTAAAACATTACAGAATACCTCCAGCGAAGGTAATCGGCTGCGCACGGGTAAAGATCGAAACCAGAAGAAGGAAAAGCCAGACAGCGTGGATGGTCAACAACCACTTGTGAATGGAGTACCCTAAACTGCATAATTCTGAAGTTATATTTCCTATACCGTTTCCGTAATTCTTATTCCATATTAGAAAACTTTGTTAGGCCAAAGACAAATAGTAGGCAAGATGGCACAGGGCATGAAATGAACACAAATTCTGCTGAGAATTTTATTTTATTTTTTGTATTGGCCATAAGCAACAATTTTTCAGATTTGCACAAAAAGGATCTTAAAATTTGAAACATTGCTTTTAAGTATACTTAGCACTTCAGGGCAGGATTTTAGTTTTATTTTTTAAAGTACTAAGCAATGATAATATTTATTAATTTGGACCATTTTCCTGCATTGGGTGATAACTCACCAGTTCATTTCAGTCTTTCTGAATAAATAGCATTTATGGTAATCATACTGGACTTCTGTTTTCAATCTCATTTAGGAGTCTATGAAATGCTATGTCATTTCATGTCCTGTGTCAGTTTATGTTTTGGTCCACTTTTCCAGTATTTTTGTGGACCCTGAAATATGTGTGATGTGACATTTGTCATTTTCATTAGCAAAAAAAAAAAAAGTTGTATGATCTGTGCCTTTTTTATATCTTGGCAGGTAGGAATATTATATTTGGATGCAGAGTTCAGGGAAGATAAGTTGGAAACACTAAATGTTAAAGATGTAGCAAACCCTGTCAAACATTAGTACTTTATAGAAGAATGCATGCTTTCCATATTTTTTTCCTTACATAAACATCAGGTTAGGCAGTATAAAGAATAGGACTTGTTTTTGTTTTTGTTTTGTTGCACTGAAGTTTGACAAATAGTGTTATTGAAAGGGATGTGTAATTTTTCTGTATAGACAGGAGAAGAAATAACTATCTTTTCATTTGAGAGAGGCTAAAATGTTTTCAGCTAGGAACAAATCTTCCTGGTCGAAAGTTAGTAGGATATGCCTGCTCTTTGGCCTGATGACCAATTTTAACTCAGAACTTTTTTTATTTTGTCCTCCCTAAGTTTTGTGAAGTTTTTCACATTTTAAGTTCAGGCTTATTTGGGGGAGATAGGAAGGTCATTTTCATGTACACACAATAATCCTGCAAAGTACAGGTACTTTGTCTAAGAAACATTGGAAGCAGGTTAAATGTTTTGTAAACTTTGAGATATAAGGTCTGATGTATAAGCAGAATTGAAAAGCAGACTAGGATTGGTTAGCAAATAATACATTTTTTTCCTTTTTTGGATGTGTTGGATTTTGTTTTTGTTTTTGAGTCTTTCTTTTTTAAATGAATGAAATTTACTGAGGAAAAATATGTGAAGGACCTTCACTCTAAGATGTTATATTTTTCTTAAAAAATAACTCCGAGTAGGGGTACCACTGAATCTGTACAGAGCCGTACAAACCGAAGTTCTGCCTCTGATGTATTTTGTGAGTTTGTTTCTTTGAGTTTTCATTTTTGTTACTTTTCCTTGCATACAAATAAGCATATAAAAATGGCGACAAACTGCACATGATTTCACAAATATTAAAGTCTTTTAAAAAGTATTGCCAAACATTAATGTTGATTTCTAGTTATTTATTCTGGGAATGTATAGTATTTGCAAACAGAAATTGGTACCTTGCACACATCATCTGTAAGCTGTTTGGTTTAAAATACTGTAGATAATTAACCAAGGTAGAATGACCTTGTAATGTAACTGCTCTTGGGCAATATTCTCTGTACATATTAGCGACAACAGATTGGATTTTATGTTGACATTTGTTTGGTTATAGTGCAATATATTTTGTATGCAAGCAGTTTCAATAAAGTTTGATCTTCCTCTGCTAAATTGATGTTGATGCAATCCTTACAAATGATTGCTTTTAAAATTTTAAGATAGGAAAAGAAATCTATAGAAAGTGTTCTGTTACAAAATGTAACTGTTGCCATTGGAAATTTCACATGTCATAGGAAGTTAGCCGTTATCTACCAACTTTCAAGAACTTACTATTGTTTAATAAAGTGAAAAAAATCAGCAAAATGGTACAAAACACAATGTACCATTACAATATGCACTAAGTCTCTTTTTTACAAAGGCTGAATTCAGCAAGGCGCTAACTTGCTTAAATGTGAATTACTAACTTCTAAAACTGTAATTTGATTCACATGTTTTCAAATGGAGTTGGAGTTGATTCATATTACAATATTTGTGTGCTAAATGTGTATGTTTTTCAGTTTGAAGTCATGATGTTTTTAAAATCTTATTAAAGTTTCAAAACTCTGAAGATTGTTTATCTAGATGTAAATTTTTATTAAAAAGTTGCACTTATGAAAAAGCAAAAATATAGTCTGACAGATGTTTGCTCTGGTTTTAAATTTCTATAAACCTAAAACAATATTTATGTCGGGGATATTTATCATGTAAAGCAAATGTGTGATTGCAATTCATCTTTTAGGCGTCCTTAAAAGGCAAAAATGAAGATACTTGAAAATTCTCCATGTTCTCAGTTATAAAATTTAAATACATCTTATAGGATGCTACTAAACAATATTAAATACATACTCCTACCTGTGCACCCATAATGATATCCTCCCTTTAGAAACGATTATTTCAGTATAGTTTAAAATATTTTGATATCAATGTCTTAGTAATAGAATTTAGGTAGGTTATATCTAGGAATTAGCTATTGTGGTCACTTCAAGAAACTCCAGCAAGGTTACAGCCTTAAAAGAGGTACAATTGAGAGTTGACAGTATCACCATTCCATCTGCTATTGGAATCCAGAGTGATGCTAGACAAATATCCTATATTGATGTTTTTGTTTATTTCTGGGGGAGGGGGTATGCCCCTTTGTTTTCTGCTTTTCAAATTTCCTCTGTGGTACTTTTCTGGTTTTCTGATGTTGATTTTGCCTCCCAGGGCACAGTCCGTCTCTAAAGGAGTAGGTAGAAATGCCTTAAGTAACTTGTTTCATAGTAGCTTTCAGCCCTACAAAGGAAAAGCTTATTGGCAGCCACTGGCTTGACACTCAACTTGGCTGACTTAGAAGCACTTCTGTCATCTGATCATGATCTTAGAGCTCCTGGTGGTTTTGACTGTAGTGGCTTTTAGAGTCCATACACTGATTCTAATTTCTATTGAACCAGTTTGTCACATGGCCATAAATGGCATTTCCCGTGTAAACCTCAGATTCTTCTGATAACCAGTTATTCTGAAATATTCATTACCAGATGCTAGTCTTGATTGCTCAGAAGGCACAACTGTTGCCAGGATTTAAATCTTGAGCATCTTTTTCTCAGTGTATTTTTCTCTAGCTTTTTTTTCTCTCAGAATTTTTCACAAAGAAACCAAGAAAATCCTTTTTTAAAATATTTTTTTTAGTTGTATATGAACACAATACTTCTTTTATTTATGAGGTGCTGAGGATCAAGCCAAGTGCCCCACACATGAAAGACAAGCACTCTACGACTGAGCCACAACCCCAGACCCCACCATATCCCATCCCACCTGTCCGCTCTTATTTTAATGCTAAGGAGTTTTATGTTACTGGGAAGGCATGAAAAGACTTTGAAAATTGTACTTGCTAAATGATTAAAGACAGCTTCAAATTTGAGTCCTTAAACGTCTTCCAATTTCTGTGTACCGTACACTTGATTACAGGGATAGATTGAAATTGGAAGGAGGGAAGATGTAACTGTCAACAGAAGATGGTTACAAGGAATCCTGGGAATTGGGGTTTATTACCATTATTCTGTATCATGCAAAACATGGATGGTTTATGTTGAAAGAACTCATTTGTTCAAATACAAAGTTATTTTGATAAATATTAAGGCATCTTAGTCATATTTCCATGGAGATCAAGACCTGTAAGATATTGTATGAAAGAATAGTGTACTAATAGTGCTTAAGGAATCTGTCCTTAAAACTTGCCAGTGTAGCACAGATAGCTGCATGACAGGAATGAGAGAAATGAGGAGGTGAATTCCACATTTCTACATCAGGATAAGTCATTTCATCTCTACAGATTTTAGTTTCTTCTTGGATTAAGGAAAATTAGTGCTGGGGGTACTAACTCCAAAATTGTTCACACGTTAACAAAGTGTATGGCTAAAGCTACAAAGAGTAAGTGCTACAAAGCACCGCCTACCTGATTTCATTTGGTTCTCTTTAAGTATTTATTAAACTTGCACTATATGTGCAGGTACTACAGAAGCTTCTTAGAGATACAAGGATAATAGTACAAGAGCTTGGTGAGTCCATGAGCAGTTTCAGTACATAGTACCAAGATGTACATGGTGAGGTGACCCCACATAGGGACATGACCTAAATTGGGGCCTGGCATGGAGTCAGATGAAGTAAAACCTTACCTAAGATTTATACAAAAGGAGTGAGCCTGGGAGCATTGAACTAGGCATGGAAAAATCCAGTGTATCCAGGAAGCATCCAAAAGTTCAGTGTGACTAACAAACTTTGAATTTGAGGAAGAGTGAAGATAGATTGTCAAGGAGGACGTACGGTACCTAGTTAAAGATGTTGGGCTTTAGCGAGTCTTTGAAGAGCTTTACACAATCAGGTTTAATTAACAAGTGTGGAGAACCCAACAGGAGCCCCTACCTAACTGCCCAGTAACCAGCTAGCAGAAGGAGGGTGTACACAAATTGAACTCTGTCTTGGCTAGCTGGAGATTTCAGTGCCTTGGAGTGCAAATCCTGCTTCCCACAGGGTCACAGGTACTAGCAGCTAGGGTTCCCCAAAAAAACTCTGTTAACGTTTGGCATCTAAACTCAGACTACTGAGTATGTAAACTTTTATTTGAGTCTCCATGTGCAGTGCTGTTAGACTTGCTCTTTGGAAAGATAGATGCACAGGGAAGAAATAGTACAGCCCCAAGGTGCAATCAGCAGTGCCCAGGCATTGGCATGGGTGAATGGTATCCTTGTGCCTCTTTCCCTTCTCTAATGATATCCTCATTGAAATCTTTTATATGTTTCTCTTTGATGTGCCCTAATTCAGCATCTAAAATCACTGGTGAACATGCTATCACAGTGCTTATTTATAACCATAAGTTCCAAGGGCCTTGGAAAGTTCGTTGTATAAGGAAGGCACTTTGAGACAGTGTGATCCTTTGACACTCCACTCACCCTGTGAGCTCTAAGGAGAAAGAAGTTGGGAGAAAAGAGCCCTTGGCCCTCAAGTGCCATTGGAAAAATTGATGCAACCTAACCTTTAGATTGGAAATGTGTGTGTCATACAGTGTCACCTATGACCCTTTGGAGAAAATTGAGGCACAACCTGTGGGGCTTCTGTACACTAATGGAATTGGAGTCCCAGCAATGGTCATTAGAGTCCATTGAGGCTTGAATTACTTATATGATAAACAGGTTACCCCCAAGAAATAAGTGAAGCTGAATGGCAAGCATTTTGGGTTTCATGCAGGATTATCTTTTTTGCCAAATTAGCTCGGTTGACCACTGGAAAGGGAGCAAATATGGCAGCACTGTCTTGCATTAGATGTCCCAGGAAATCTCATTCACAGCCACTAAGAGGAGACTTGCTGGGATGCTGAATGCACAGAAGAACAATGCTACTGAAGTCAGAA